AAGGTAATGGAGACCTGACTTTCGACATACAAACAAATCAACTTACAAACAGCCTCTCAGTCCCCATTATGTTCTTAAGTTGGGGATTTACTGTATTTACAGCTCACAATTAATTTTTCTTTTTCAGAGGAACACACCTTCAGTAAAGGACATGGCAATCACAGCTAAGAGGGGAGCTGCTGGTGCAAAACCCAAGAATACCCTTAAAAGGAAGGCAGACACACTGGCTGAAAAGAAACCAGTTGCTGGTACGAAGCGCAAACGTACCGAGTATGTTGTAACCGAAAAGAAGACAGTAGACCCAAGAAAAAGGCACAAGGGGATGGTGAGTCAAGGCATTCCAGGCATAGTAAGATTTAAATTTGATATTCACTAAGCTGTTGCATAAAAGGATTTGAGTCTTTTTTGTGGTTGTTAGAGAAAATGTATGAAAAAAGATAAATAACTCCACAAGCTAAGATTGATGTTTATGTAATGTCTTTAGAATTACAAGTAATGATGATGGATTCATACATTTTCTGCTGTTGTACAGTGTAAAATAGTGTAGGAAAATTCTGGAAATTCTTGCATTACTGATAACATACTGTCATTTTCTCTTCAGACCACCCTTGAAGGAGACCTGAGAAAAATTTTCCAAGAACGAAGAAATGCAAGGGATGCTCGTTGTCTCTTTGTCTTGATGCAGAACTATGATGATAAAGTAGAATTTGAAAAAGCTGTGAATGCCAGAAAAAAATCGTAAGTACCCCTAATACTGATCTCAACTTTTTTTTATTATTGTTATTGTTTATATTTTTTTATTATTATTATTGTAGTTGTTATCATTATTTATCATTATTATTATTATTATTATTATTATTATTATTATTATTATTATAATAATTTTTTATATAATAGTAGTTAGAATTTTTAAATGACCTATTTTCTTATTTACCATTTCTACTTTTTAGTATATGAAAAAAAAAACACGCAGTACATTCTTTTGCTTTATGTTTAATTTTAAAAGTTTTTAGTACATTTTCTATTTTGCTTTGATTCTACTGGAAGTTGCATTTAGTTCTATCACAAGTTGATCCTTTTTGAGGTGTTTCCAACTCCTTTCTTTAGCCTTGGTAATGTGGAGAGTTAGGTGTAGCAAGTGAGCTTCCCACATTGACTGTAAATCTAATAATAATAACAATAATAATAATGATAATAATAATTAGTTTGGATACTGCTCTAACAGTGATGGCATTTTTAGATAAGGAAGCTATTTAAAGGGAAAGGAAATCTTATCATTAGGTTTCCCTATAATCATAATGTCCATTTTTTCTGTTTTCAAGAGAGAAAATGAGAGAAAGAGGGAGTTTTATATTGTAAGAGGAATAATTAAAAGTGAGTGAGTAGGGTAGTGAATTGATTTTTTTTTTTTTTTTTTTTTTTTTTTTATGAGGGAGTAGATAGTTGTAGAGAGTTGGTGAAAAGGAGTAGGTGGCTGTTGTTAGTTTGTGAGAAGGAGTAGGCTAGTTGCAGTGAGTTGGGTAGAGAAAGTGACCTTACAACAGTGACTGTGTATTGAACAGACAGAGCTGACTAGTTTCAGCAAGTTGGCAAAAGGGAGTATATTAGTTGTAGTAGGGTGATGAAAGGTAGATTAGCTCAGTGAGTTAGTAAAAGGTTGCAGCTGGTGGGAGTGAGGGTGTGTGTGGTGGTAAATGAGAGGAAAAGATAGGCAGATTCTAGAGAGAGAGGAAGGAAACTTATAGCAGAGGAAAGTTGGAAGATTAAATGTATTTATTTGTGAATTTATCTTATAATCATTCCTCCTTTCCAGAAAACGGACCTACTTCGTGGACTATGCCTCACCAGAGGAAGCAAAACAGATGATGAAGGTACTAGGGAAGAGGAAAGATATTCTTGCTTGCCGAAGTGTGGTCAAGCCACAGAGTGCAAATGAGACAATAATGGTGGATCCTTGTCAGTAAGTACTTCCACTCTCTTTTGGTTGAAGATTCCATAAGTATGAAATTTAGAGTGATATTAAGTGAACTTGCGTATTTATGAAAATAGTCTTTGATTTTCATTACATTTTTTCCCAACCCTACAGATTGTACATGGAGAACATACCAGCTCATACGACGCTCAAGGGTTTGAAGTCCATATTCCCAACAGCCTTAAACATCTCATACAGATCTAAGAAAAGGTAAGTTTGACATTTTGCTATATAATGGATAGAAGGATAGATTTTTATTCTTTTACTCTTTTTTTCTAATGCTGAATGTACTTTCATAATATATTTAGCATTTTCTTGTGATGTTAAAATTCTGAATTACATTTTTCAGTTTTGCAAAAATTACATACGCCGATGCTAAGTTGGCTGAGGAGGCCTTTAGAAAAGCAGACAATCTTGTTATCAGCGGAAACAAAATGACTGTTCTTTACACCACCATTCCTACAAAGGAAGTAAAGAAGTCCACAGCAGCACCACCTAAAAAGAGACAAAAGGTACAGACATCAGATA